AAAATGTTGGAACCGGTGGGGAACACTGCAAGAGATTGAATGTAGAGGATGAGGAGTACGACTTCTGTAGCTTGTTTTGTGTAAGTTGCATCATTATTTGAAATACGGGGACTATTGGCGTCTGATTTACTATGCCACTTACTCTAGAGCCCTCACTAGAGTCTACATTTGGATTTAAATGTGAACCGAGATGTCTGAGATACTGGTCTGAATTCCTCTGGTGTATTCAATTGGAGGATGTTCCTGAACTATACAGTCGAACAGCACATAATGTTTTGAACAATTTCAATGATAGCTGTTTAGCAGTGCTCCAAATTTTATTTAATGAATAATCTAATGCCTACCAGATTGTGCCGAATGTGTGCCGATGGATGTGCCCAAACTGTTCCGAATCTACTTTCGGAACACTGTGCTGAGTGACTTAGTCCTTGGGCATAACATGCAGGAGCGGGCTGTGTTCGATTCCCGGTCTGGTTTAGGAATTTCTCGGGTTGGAAAATTTCTCGACTTCTCTTATAAAAGAAATACTGTAACAATATGAAAGAACTTTTCAACAAATGGTCTGGATGATACCCTGAACACTTTTGTTAGCAATTTATTTATTTATTTATTTACTATTATTTTATTAATTTATTCATCTATTTTTTGAATAATTTATATATTATCAATTTTTTATTAATGTTCACTTATTTGTTTAGTTTGTTTTATTTTTTTATATTTTCGTTTTTATTTATTCATTGATTAATTAATTTATTCTTTCTTATTTATTATTTATTTATTTACTTATTTTTTTTATTTTTTTTTATCTTAAAATTGATTTTTTTTATTAATTGGTTGCTTGTATATCTTTAAATTTTTTATTTATCTTTTAAATTATTTATTTATTAATTTAATAAAAATGTTTTACATATTATTTAATTTTTCTTTTTAATTTATACATTCATTTGTTAATTAACAAATTCATTTATTTATTTATTTATTGATTGATTTATTTGTTTATTTATTTATTTATTTATTTATTTATTCATTTATTTATTTATTTATATATTAATTTATTTATATATTTATTAATTTATTTATTTATTAATGCATTTATTTATTTATTTATTTATTTATTTATTTATTTATGTATTAATTTATTTATTTATTTATTTATTTATTTATTTATTTATTTATTTATTAATTAATTTATTTATTTATTTATTTATTAATTAATTAATTAATTAATTTATTTATTTATTTATTTATTTATTTATTTATTTATTTATTTATTTATTAATTAATTTATTTATTGATTTATTTATTTATTTATTTATTTATTAATATATTAATTTATTTATTTAATTAATAATTTATTGATTAATTAATTTATTTATTTATTAGTTAATGTATTTGTTTATTTCTTTATTAATTATTTATGCATTTTTCATTTATTTATTTATTTTTTTTTTGTTTTTTTTTGTCATTTTTTTCCTTTTTTTTCCTTTTTTTTCTTTTTTGTTGTCTTTTATTTTTAAATATAAATTTTACTTTTTTGTTATTTATTCATATATTTATTTAGCTATATATTCTTTAAGTTATTAGTTTTTTTTCTTTTTAATATTTTTTATAAATTTATTTATCTATTAATTTATTTATTTACAAATCAATTTATATATTTATTTTTCATTATTTTTTTATTCATTCATATATTTATTTATTTATTTATAAATTCATTAATTTATGTATTTTTCATTTATTTATTTATTTATTTTCCATTTTTTTTTGTTAGATTTTTTTATATGTTTTTTTCTTTTATTTTTTTTCTCTTATTTTTTTTTTCTTTATTTTTTTTTTTCTTTTATTTTTAAATATAAATTTTATTGTAACGTTATTTATTCATTTATTTATTTAGCTATATATTCGTAAAGTGTTTAGTTTTTTTTTTCTTCTTAATATTTTTTACGAATTTTTTACTCATTTTTTTATTTATTAATTAATTTATTTATTTATTTATTTAATTTTGTAATTATTTATTGATTTATTTATTTATTGATTTATTTATTTACGTTTTTATTTATTAATTTATATATATATATATATATATTTATCTTTTTTTATTAATGTTTTTATTTATTTTTTATTCATCTATTTTTATATATTTATTTATTTTTTATTGTTTTATTTATTTTTTTATTTATTTGTTTATTAATTTCTTTTTAATTCATATATTTATTAATGATTTTTTATGCATTTATTTATTTATCCAAATATTCATTTTTTTGTAATTTATTTATTAATTTATTTTTTATTTTATTTTAATTCTTTACTGGTTAATTTATTTTTATTAATTTTATTTATTTTTTTTATTTTATTTATTTTTGAACATATATTTGATGATTTATTTATTGCTTTATTTATTCATTTACTTATAAGGCTTTTTTTTATAAAACAATTTATTTATTTATTTTTTATTAGTTTTTTATGATATATTCATTCTATTATTTATTTATTTTTTTAGCTATTAATTAATTTATTTATCAATTTATTTATTTATTTATATTTTTAGTTATGATTTGATTTAGTTATTTGACTTTTAATTTTTTAATTAATTGCTTTAAGTATTTATTCATTTATTTATTTATTTATTTATTAAGTTATTAATTCATTTATTTATCTTTTTATTTTTTATTTTATTTATTTATATATTTATTCATTTATTTATTTATTTATTCATTCATTTCTTTATTTATTATTTCATTTATTTATATATTCATTTATATATTTTTTATTTATTTTATTAATTTATTTATTGAATAATTTGTTTATTTATTTATTTTTTTTTTAATTTATTTATTTTTAAATTAATTTTTCTTTTTTTTTTTAATTTTGTTTAATTTATTTATTTATTAATTTATTAATTTATTAATGTATTCATATATTGTTTTTATTTATTTATTTTTATTTTTTTATTTTTCATTTTTTTTATTTATTTAGTTATTTTATTGTTTAGATAATTATTTATTTATATAAGATTTATTTTATTTAATTTATTTATAAATTTATTCATTTATTTATTTGGTTATTAATTCATGTATTTATTTATTTCTTTATTTATTAATTTATGTATTTTTCACTTATATATTTATTAATTTTTTGTTTTTTTTTGTAAGTTTTCATAATTAATTTTTTTTTAAACATAAATTTTATTGTTTAATTATTTATTCATTTATTTATTTAGCTATATATTCATTAAGTTATTAGTTTTTTTTCTTTTCAATATTTTTTTATAAAACTTTTACTCATTTAATTATTAAATTATTAAGCTATTTATTTATTTAGTAATCAATTTATTTATTTATTTTTTATTTTATTTATGTATTTTTCATTTTTTTATTTATTTCTTTTTTTGTTTGTTTTGTAAGTATTTTTTTGCATTATTTTTTTTTTATAATTTATTTTCTTTTATCTTTAAACATAAATTTTATTGTTTAGTTATTTATTCATTTATTTATTTTGCTATATATTCATTAAGTCATTAGTTTTTTTATATTTTTTTATAAAATTTTTACCCATTTATTTATTTATTTATTTATTTATTTTTTAAAATTTATTAATTTATTTAATTCTTTTGTTTTTATTTATGTTTTTATTTATTTATTTATTAATCTATTTATATATATATATATATATTTTCTTTTTATTATTTAATTAATTTAATTATTTATTTGTTTATTAATTTCTTTCTATTTATTTATTTATTCAAATGTTAATTTTTGTATTTATTCATTCATTTATTTATTAATTTTTTTAAAATTTATTTTCTTAATTTTATTAATTTTTTTAACATATATTTAATGATTTTTTAATTGCTCAATTTCTTCATTTATTTATTAGGCTTTTTTTATTAATCAACTGTTAATTTTTTAATGTACTTATTTAATTATTTATTAATTAATTAATTTATTTATTTTTTTAGTTATTTATTAATTTATTTATTTCATTATTCATTTATCTATTTATTTGTTTATTTCTTTGTTTATTAATTCATTTATTTTTATATATTTATTTATATATATATTATTTTTTTATTAATTTATTTATTTAATAATTTGTTAATTTATTAATTTATTTTTTGATTTATTTATTTTTTAATTTATTTTTTCATTCATTTTTGTAATAATTAATTTATTTATTTAATTTTTTATTTATTTATTTAAGTATTTATATTTTTATTTATTTATTGATTTATTTTATTATTTATTTATTTATTTATTTATATACTATAAATTTTTTTTATTTATTTATTTATTTATTTTTTTATTTATTTATTTATTTATTAATTCATTTAGTTATATATTTATTTATTTTTTAATTTATTTATTTATTTATTTATTTATTTATTTATTTATTTATTTATTGATTTATTTATTTATTTATTTATTTATTTATTTATTTATTTATTTATTTATTTATTTATTTATTTATTTATTTATTTATTTATTCTTTTATTTATTTTTTTATTTATTTATTTATTTATTTATTTATTTATTGATTGTTTCATTTATTCGTTTATTTCTAAATTTATTTATTGCTTTATTTTTTATTTATTTATTTTTCAATTTATTTTAAATTTATTAATTAATTTATTCATTTATTTATTTATTAATTAATTTATTTATTTATTCATTTATTCATTTCTTGACTTATTTATTCATTCGTTCTGTCTGGTAATTTTAGCATTGATGTTTACATAACTTTGCTATGCTACAGTTGATAATATTAAAAATCGTACCTGTTGAAAAGATCAGTCATGGTAGCCTCTCTTGAGACTTTTCGTGTTATGTCCCCTTTAAAGGATCTTATGTCCTTAATTCCAGCTTCCAACTGTCACTCGTACTGATTGATACTCCAGATATATATATTTGGGCATATTTTATCCCTCAAGCAACAATTCTCACAATCCCTGATCCTAACGGTAAATTCTCTAACTCACTTCATATTCTTCCCGCCCATTGCAGGAAATTCTTCCAAGGAGGTCAGTTCAAAAACAAAGACATCCGACTGGACGCAAAAGTAGTCATCATAACCGGTGCGAACTCCGGAATAGGGAAAGAGACTGCAATAGTAAGTGGTGTTTAATTGAATTAATGCATAGATCGTTATCATCAACGTCTTCGCGCAATGCAGGAATGTGCCAAACGGGGAGCCCGAGTCTACATGGGCTGCCGGGATGCCAACCGGATGGAGAAAGCCCGCCAGGAAATCCTGGACAAATCTGGCAGCCAAAATGTGTTCGGCCTGGAACTGGACCTGGCTTCGTTTGATTCCATTAGGAATTTCGTGCGAACGTGAGTGACCATCGTCGGAGATCGACGCAATGAGTGCGTGTCAGTAACGCGATTGCCTTCATTTACATTGCAGATTTCTGAGCATGGAGCGACGGTTGCACGTGCTCATCAACAATGCCGGTGTGATGGCTTGTCCGAAAGAGTTCACCAAGGAGGGCTTCGAAATGCACTTTGGAGTCAACCATTTGGGGCACTTTTTGCTGACGAATTTGCTGCTGGACATACTGAAGCGGACGGCTCCCAGCAGGATTGTGACGGTGTCCAGCTTGGGCCACAAGTGGGGTCGAATCAACAAGGACGACATCAACAGCGAGAAGGACTACCGAGAGTGGGGAGCGTACATGCAGAGCAAGTTGTGCAACATTCTGTTTTCCCGGCATCTGGCAAAGAGACTACGGGGAACTGGAGTGCACACCTATTGCCTACATCCAGGGACGATCAATACGGAACTGACGAGGTATCAGAATCGGTGCATGATGTAAGTTTAATCGAGATTTCTTCGTTGCTTTAGGAGTTTTTGATATGATTGCATGGTTTTAGGATTGCGGCGAAGCCCCTGCTGTGGGTGTTCTTCAAATCGCCCAAGTCGGGTGCCCAGACCTCGCTGTACTGTGCAATGGAGCCGACGATTGCCGGAGACACCGGGAAGTATTACAGCGATTGTAAGCTCAAGGAACCGGAGCCCCACGCAAAGGATGATGCAATGGCCGAGTGGTTGTGGAACATCAGTGAGAAGCTGACCGGAATGATTCGATAGGAAGTTTCAACTGTCGATGCGTAATGTTTCATATTACAAGTCATCACCGTCGGTTTCATGAAATTGATCTTGGGAAAAGCCTCCGCTGTGATGATAGGTTTCAGAGTATTCAAATTTGAATAAGTTATTGAATAAAATATGATAAAAATAAAGTTTATTACTCATTTATGTAGAACAAAATAATGGAAATTAATTCAGATTAATTCACACCGAAGGGTAATAAATCCATCAAAGTAGACTTCGAGCCAGTCGACAAACAAAAGAGCCATCCACAACTGGCTTCGCTATTGAAAATTGCAAATTGCAAATTCAAGCACGACGTCTTTAATCAGTGCAGCACAGATTCGTGAATCATAAATCCCTTTATATAGTAGGCCACCGGATCAATCGCATTGGAGCTGTGAGAGGCATCGATTTATATTCCCATGCCTGCTAGTAAACTAGTCGCGTGTCGTTTATAAGTTTACTCAGTTTAGTGCATAATTACTCATAACAGTCATACAGTAAGGGAGAAAGAAGGTATGCACATGTCGTCTTGCATTTCTAGTGCACGTGCTTTCGCGATTCATCGTTGTCGTCGAGGGCTATGGCGTAATCGAATAATAACTGTGTGTGAAGCATTTCCTACGGGGGCGGGCGTGAGAAAGGCGCCAAATTCCAGCCACATATTTACCGGTGAAATGAAGGACAAAAATGGAGGCAAGTGAGGAAGGCAAATACTCGAAGGTTGCAAATAGCAAACGTAATACGATATGCGTAAAACAGGTAGGAGACGACACAAATATAATCCTGTTTAATCTGTGTTCATATCAGTTTTTGCAAACTTTTCATGGTGAAGGACTATTGATTGGCCCAACATATGTCACTTATTGACTTAACAAGACTTAAGCACACGGCATACTGTCGTTTGGTTGTGCTAGAGGTCAAATGGCGTTCTGCGTTTTTAATATCGATTAATTGCAAGGGTACATGACTAATATTGAGTCACACTATTTCTACTTGTTATGAAACGATACTAGAAGGCAAGGTATTTATGTGGGGAGGTATGTTGCGAAAATGGTGAAAACAAAAATCCACTGCTCACAGATGGGAATCGAACCCAGGGAGATGTAGGTTCGATTCCCACCATTTTTGCAACATATCTCACCACATAAATATCGATTCATATTTAGGCGATCCCAACCAGATAAAACGCTTCTGTTTTCTAGAAGATAGCATACCAAGAAGATTGGTATCACAAAAACGATATGAGATAAACACAATATCGTAGTATATAGTAAAATCTCCAAGCGAATTTGATAGCGATGATGACAATCTCAACTTATCAACTTATTATCGTTGTAACAATAGTACATAGAATTTTTGAATCGATCTTCTCCGATTTGTATGAAACTTTGCGTAATTGTTTGTTCTGGGCAATAATTCACATTTTTGCGGATATTGGGCCATTTTGGAACTTTTAATATTATCAAAATGGCGTCCTTGAAATTTTTCAAAAAAAAAAATTTAGTACTGAAATGGCATTTCTGATCGAAATGACATCTGACAAAAAGTTGAAGAGAAAACAAATGTACTCGGACTAAACAAAGCTCCCAAAACCACCAATATTTGGTTACACTGTTGTACATCTTTAATCAAATTACTCGTGCGATGCATGCAAATCGTTTTCATACGATTTGACGGTTTGTTTGGATACGGCAACTCACGTTGGCCGGTCTATAACTTGACTGTCTACAGCCACTGTCACCGAAAAAGTGAATGAAACCGAGGGGGATGAAAGTCCCAGATTCACAGATACTCTAACGTTTGATTTAATGATTTATAGTCGGAGAAATCCATTTTATCGAATTCATCCGATATAATCGTAAAAATTAACGATTTTTATCGGTCACATCTCTCATATCGGGTCACATCTATCATGACAGTATCGTGACAGGTAACAATGACAGCCGTTTGTTTATAAGAAAGGAACGTTGTGAAATCTCAACCAACAATTCAAAAAGGCGGATCAGCTTTTGTAATCAAATCTTGTAATGCACTTTTCTCGCAAATCGAAGGTCGCCTTGCCAAATCAACAACACCGTCGGCTAGGGAAAATTCTCTCCTATCCGATAGTGGAATTGGTGCTTCAGCTTGCACGATAAGGTCATTACAAGTTTACTGATTTACCTTTTAGTATTGTCGGTTGATAAATCTGTTCAAATATCATTTATGGTGATTCCTTGAAGAGGCCACAAATTGCCTGATGATGGCTGAGATACCCTATCACTTCGAGTGTTCTAGAGCACAAATTTAGGACACAGTTGTGACATCACTCATGAAGTTGGAACTCCCTGTTTGCTGCATCAAATGTGAAGTTCTAATTTCATTGTTGTATATTTTGTGGCAGCTGTGCTCTTGAAATTTTGAGGTGATAGTATCACACACATTGTAGGAAGTGCGGAAACGCATATTCTCGACTGGGAATTCTCGGATATCTCCAAGGTCATTACTGATTTCCATCACTACCTCAACAGACTTCCCCAATCTCAGGCATCCGGTGAAGATCAGCATCGATAGCACCTATCCTTTGGTCTTGGGTTTGGTCACGTTTGGTCATCAATTGTGTTGCCAAATCTCCGAGCAAATATCGTTGCTTACAGAGTTTGAACATGCATCAATTACAAAAGCAGGTGCTTAAGAAATTGACAGTTGACATCACTAAACACACTAAAACAACATCAACATAATGCTAGATAATTCTAACACATCCAAGATTATCGATGAATAGTGTATCAAATCGGATAATATCGGCAGGTGCTTGTTATTATTCATTACAACTCGAATTTTTTCTTAAAAAATCGAAATTTTCAAGCAAATTTTATAGAAATCCGTTATATGAAATCTAAACAGATTACTTTTGTCCCCCTTGAATGAAACGGACAGTGTGTTTCCCATCCTATTCCATCTTTTTATTCGAGAACACCCACCCCGGATGCAGTTTTAGCAGTTTTAGTGCTGAACGAAGCAGACATTTTCGCCTATTTGTACCTGAATAAGAGTCGTAAAAATGTGGAAAAAAAATCAAGAAAAATCCAAGGGAAACCGAGAGGAAACCCCATTACGAACTTTTTCATTGGATCTGGTAAGCTATAAGCTATAATATAAATAATTGCACTAATCATTATGTTGAGTTCCGTGTGATTTGAGGTATCGCATGATGCAATTGGGTGAATGTCAGAATCTGTCCACCTCCTTGAGGTACCCGGAATATCTGAAAGAGGCCATTGTGATCATTGTTAAGACCAACCATTAATCTTAAAGTAAAACTATAATGTGATTTGGGGTGTCGCATGATAAGTTTTTGATAAATCAATCTTTTTGTTAATTCCCCGGTGGAATCTGGAATTCACATTTTTGTTCAAATCTTTGGAACCATAATTCCGATCTGGGAAAAAATCAAAAGCGATCTATGGGGATCTGAAACACATCCCGTTCCACTCAAAGCGAAAATTGAGTGAGTAACACTCAAACGAACTTACATACATGCATACATACATACACACATACATACATACATACATATATAGACACATACAGAAACATTTTCCGATCCCTTTGAGATGAGTCTATTGGTATATGCCAATCTACTTATTCTAGAATACTTAAATCTACTTATTCTAGAAACATACATACACTCAAAGAATAAATCACATATCCAATGGAAAATATTCCCTAGAATTTAAAATAACATTCATGTGATACGATAATTGTAAATTGCACCACAAAATCACATGAACCTTATGTGTCAAATGAAATTTATGTGATTTATCGTATAGAACTCATGTGATCACATGAATGTTATGTGAAATTCAGATAGATATCATTGGTTTTGTTAATGGAAAAATGTAATGTGCATTCCCAATGGAAACTAAATGAAATCTTTTTTCCGTGTACTAATTTCATATGTACATGGAGATGTTGCTCATATTAGAAAACAAATTCCTGGAAAATCTCGGAAAGTTTTGAGGTTAACTACGTCTTCAAGAATATTAGTGAACTAATCTCAACTTTGAGTCGACCGCATTTGTCGTGTAATCGTAATTTATCTTTTTATTATTTGCTTGTAACGTATACGGCGTAAATGGATGCATTCCCAACTCCAATTAGGTTCGTTAAAAGCAGGTCTTTCTTACTCAAACATGACTTCGCATATATTTCATGACTACACCCCCCCCCCCCCCCCCGCAACCCCACATAGTATAACAGTTAAAGCCAACTCCGTGCTACTGCAAAACAGGTTAATCCGTTCCAAGATTCCGTTAATAAGCGACATAGAAACAGCACCGCCAGTGATTTTCGGTGTTCAAGATATAGACACTATTATGAAATACAGACGAAAAGAAAAAGAAGCTTTAAAGTGTCACGTGCTGTTTTCAAATATTCAAAACGAAGACCGTGTCCTGTTGCAAAATCTCGTCTCAGCCGTAAAATTCACTCCAACTTTCGGAAGAAAGGAATGGAATCCGAGTGAAGCTTCAAGATCCTGCGTTGGGCAGAAACACCGCTCACCTCAAGGAAATCTCCAGCTCTTGTTCTATTCATATTGAAGAAACACCATCAAACTCTGAAGACAATGTCATAAATCCTAATCAACATGCGGAACCATTGCAGGCAGCTCGTCCTTCTTGCTTGGTGCGCAGACCATCATGGCATCCCCAACTTCAATTAGGTTCAATTCGTTAAAAGAAGGTCTTTTTTGCTCAAACATGACTTTGCTTCTTTTTCATGACACACATCTGTCCCCTCATGGGGGCATATCGGCAGAATTACAAAATTTCTTGCATTAGCCTGTTTTCCCACGTTCTGTCGATCCTTTTGAAGCAAGAGAGATAATCCAGCAAGGCTATTCTCTAAAACTGGTGAAACCACTCAGAATCGATATCGGTGCAATGCAAAACGCATGGCTCAATGAGCTTTCTTGGAATCCCTCTCGGATGAGTTTTGGGATAACCGAATTAAATATTTTCCGTACTTACCTGCTTTAACACTCCGACCATCTAATCGTTTTGTTTCATATGTTAATATGTTTTTTTAAATCGTTCATT